AGTAAGCACGCGTCTCTTCGTCGCTCTGCTCTTAAAGTCTCCGAAAAGTGGTAAAAATCGTGAAATCAATTCAGAAAACTATTCTAAAGTGAAGTGGTAGTGACAAGGATCAATCGTATGAAAAAGTTTGGTAAAATAGTGTAAATTGTCCGGGATATTAAAGAAAAACTTCGTCGGAGTGGGCATACCACGTGTTTGTAACGTCGGAAAATTTCCGACGCTTATATTCCACGAAAGAGTCGCTGCATCGCGGAAATATTCCGACTAGCAACTTATTTAGTGACAACTAAACAAGTACAAGTTGCAGTGATACTGTGCGTGGAGTGATCGTAGAAATATAAAGCGATAAAGATTCGAGATGAACGTATCTGGACGCGTTCAGACGCGTAGTGCATCGGCATCTCTTGGCGCCGAGCGCAAACGAGGGTTTGGTGGACCTGTAGCCAATGTGCCGGTTGTTATTAGAAATCGTTTAACTATACATTTAAAATTTTTTGGTTAATATCCGTGATATTCTTTTTGTAAATATTCAGTTAGAAACAATTCATCATAAAAGTTAGTCGATAAAATATTTCAACATTATAATTCCGTGAACATTGTAAATATGTAACATAATGAATAAAGAAACATGCCACACAAACCTTTTTGTTGACCTCGACGTGATATAAGAAACTGCCATTATAATGTTCGTCAACTAGACCGCAAGAACAAATTCAATCAAGAAATATGAAAATGGAAGAGGAAGAAAATTTAAAAGGAAAGAAGTCGCAAGGAAGTTCTAATAGAATAAATGCTGCATCGATGCTAAAACTTCCTCCATTTTGGGAAGAAAATTGGAGTTTATGGTTGTCGCAAATAGAAATCATATTTACTATTGTAGGGATTTCAAGTAACAGAACTAAATTCATATACACAACCATTAATTTAGATTAAACAGTATTATAAGTAATATATAAGTAATTCTCCAGAAACAGGGAAGTTTGACATATTAAAAAATAGACTAATTTCCACTTTTAATGAGTCCATAGAATCAAAATTACGAAAACTGTTAGGAAGGAATGAAATTCTGGATGAAAAACCATCAAACTTTCTACACCACCTAAGAAATTTAGCGGGACCATTTTGTAATGAAACTGTATTAAGAACGATATTTTTAGAGCAGTTATCTGATCAAGTAAGAGGAATTCTAGCTATCAGTGAAGTCCAAGATTTAACAAAAGATAATTGATCAAGATCTCAAAATGAAAAACCAACATTTTGCTACTATCACCGCAAATTTGGAAAGAAATCATTTAAATGTCAAGATCCATGTTCCTGGACCGGTGAGGATAAAAGAAAAGAACTGAATAGTTTGGAAAAATAGGAGTGCTGTTGGAAACAAAGGCGAGTAACAATGGCAACAGATCCAATCATCGCATAATAGTTCCACACAAAACCACAGGTATGAAATGTTTAATTGATACTGGAGCTGATATCTCAATTATTCTTAAAAGATGGGTACATTGATGATATAATTATAGCATCGAAAGACAAAGAAGAACACAAGAAACATTTAAGAATTATTTTTGAACGTCTAAGAAAACATCAATTGTTAATTAATGTAAGTAAATCTATTTTTGGAGTACAAGAAGTTAAATATCCAGGTTATTTAGTCAGTGCAGATGGAACCAGGCCTTTAGAAGACAAAATCGTTGCCCTTGAAAATTATAAGCTACCAAAAGAGAGAACGAAATTATGATCATTTTTAAGAATTATAAATTTTTATAGAAGATTCATTCCAAATGTAGCACAGATTCAAGCACCTTCAAATTCTTTTCTCATAGAATCAAAGAAAACAGACCGAAGGATTATTCATTGCAACAAAGAGGACATTGAGCCCTTTTGAAAAGACAAAAAGTCAGTTACTCAATGCAACACTCTTAGCACATCCAATGGAAAAGGTACCTTTAGCTATCAAAGCAGATGCTTCAGATACTGCAATGGGAGCAACACTTGAGCAATGGCAAAATCATAAATGGCAACCATTAGGATTCTATTAAAAAAAATTGTCGAATGCTCAAAGCAAGGACAGTACTTATGATCGTGATCTTTTAGCTATTTATTCGGGAATAAAATATTCTAGGCATATGATAGAAGGTCGAAATTTAATTATTTAAACAGACCATAAACCATTAACTTCTACATTTAAACAAAAATGGTCAAAGACTTCACCCAGATAACTTGATCATTTAAATTTTATTGGACAATTCACTACGGATATAGTATTTGTTAAAGCAGAAGATAACATTGTTGCAGATTTCTTTTCAAGAATCGAATCTATATATGTACCAGTTAATATTACCATTGATTATTTAGCTTCAGCTTAACAAGAAGATGTGGAGTTAAAATAACTTATCGAGAATAAAAATTTTTCATTGCAATTGCAAAAATTAAGAGCTGAAAATGAAAATGAAATTCTGTATTGTAATATTGAAAATGAAAACATTCAATCTTATGTATCTAAAAATTGTAGGAAAAAGGTTTCGAAGACGATTCACAATTTTTCTCATTCCGGAGTTCGAGCGATACAGAAGTTAGTAGCACATTTTATTTGCCTTATATGGTAAAACAAGTTTGAGAATGGATTAGAACATGCTTATTGTGTAAAAAAAGAGACACATTGACATAATAAAAGCATGTCCAAAAGAATTCCTGTACCAAAAGGAACATTTCGGCATGTGCATATTGATTTAGTAGGATCATTGCGATTATCGGATGGACATCGCTATTGTCTAGCAACGATGAATCGTTTTTCTCAATGGCCTAAAGTAATACCGGCAGATACTTCAGTAACTAATTTTCCATGTAATTTTATGAAGCATAGATTTCAAGGTTTGGTGCACCATTGACGACAACAACAGGAAAAGGATCACAATTTAAATCGCAAGTTTTTACAGCCTTACCTGCTACTGCTGGATTTAAAATAATACGAACATCTGCATATCACCCAGCTTCTAATGGGTTACTCGAACATTGGCATCGATCACTTAAGACTGCTATTAGATGCCAAGAAAATAAAAACTGGACAGAAACTCTACCAGCAGTTTTATTAGGTTCAAGAACTGCATGTAAAGAAGATATTGAAGCATCTACAGCAGAATTAGTACATGGAGAAACTCTTTGTTTGCCTGGAGAATTCTTTATTGAGGACGAACATCCAATTAACGAAAACATTTGTCTCCAAAAATTACAAAAACAAATGAAATTGATTAAACCAATACAAACAGTTCATCATTCAGAAAATAAGGTTTTTATACATGCAAATATGTACACTTGTACTTATGTATTTTTACGTGTAAATGCAATTGAACCTCCCTTAGCACTACCGCATGAGGGCCCTTATCCAGTAATGGACAGATTTTCAGAACAACTTTTCATCATCAAAGTCAATGGTCAACCACAAACTGTCAGTATTGAGAGAGTCAAACCAGTCTTCACTGAAAATACTTTTAAGAAAAATACATCCCAGGAATCGTATTCATCAGAAGCATCATCAAATCCATCTCAACACATTACAGAAGAAATTAGAACATATCCTGGATCAAAACAGAAGAAAATTATCATCATTTGTAACTTTGGCGCTTCTGCAACCATCAACGGTGGATGAATTGAATGTTACTCGCGCAATTAATTAATCCACCTTAATCACGAGGGGTCGCCAATTATAGCGTTTGTGACCATATTCAAATTACGTTCATGACTAAGGTGAATTTTATTTAATACATATTTATTTATTTATTCAACGATTAACACATGACATAAACTTTACAATAAAAATGTGGCAAATTTAAAATGGTATACTATTGATAGTATACGAATGATAGTCACAGACCACCAACGAGCAGTGTCATCTGAGGTATGACATTGGAACTGCGCGACCAGCGACGAACAGCACCACCCGACGGAAAGATGAAGCAGTAAGCCCAGCTCCCACACACATACAACATGTAGCACCACCTGGACTGGTGCGGAAGAACTAGAATTCAGGACGAGCAACATCTGCTGACGCCAGTCAGAAGTCAAAGCCAATGAGGAAGAGGAAC